TCTCTCTCTCTTTCTCTCTCTCTCCTAGAAATAAATAAAAAAAATTAAAAAAAAAAGAATAGATAGAATAGATTAACCAAAATAGCTAATCCACCAAAAATGTCTATCATGATTTCAGTTGGAGAAGAACCTCGAATTCTCCATTACAGTGTAACACAATGTGCTGAGTGTATGGTAACAGCTGTTTGATCAAAGCTCTTCGGTGTGTCTCAAGGGTGCAGTGATTGTTCCGATGGAGGAGAATGAGGGGGCACTCAGAGAAAGCGACACTGATCTGGCTCTTTCAAGATTAGTGGGTTCAGCCAAGTAGAGGATGGAAGAGGAAGCATTCCAGCAGATAGAATGGCGTGAGCAGAGGGAAATGGGTGCAGGAAGGGGGTGGGGGTGGGAGTGGGGGTGGGGAGGACTGGCTGAGTGTCAGTTAGGGCGCAGCTAAAGAAGGTGGGGGCTGAGGTGGTAAAAGGCAGGGCTGAGGAATGTGAACATTTCACATTAGAAACCATCAAGGGCTAAAATGTTAATGATTTATCATTTGTTAATGTGTTAACCTACTAGGAAGGACTTACCTTTTTAAAAAACCCTTTTGGAGCCCCCAAAAACTGACCCAAAGGGAGTCTTTTTATCTTTTTAAGTTTTGATTATGGAAATTTCAGTAATGTATCAAATCTTCATGTACCCATCATCCAGCTTCTTAATTATCAACTCATTGCCAATCTGGTTTCATCTGTATCACCGTACACTTCTCCCCTTTTCTACAATGTTCTCTAAAAGATTAAGACTCTTTGAAAAAAAAGGCATAATATCATCACTGTCATAATTTTTTTTTTTTTTTACAATTTATTTCGATCAGGATCCAAATAAGGTTCATAAATTGCAATTAAGAGTCTTTTTAGTCTCTTAATCTATAGCGTGCCTCTTTCTTTTTTCTTTCAATTTATTTGTTCTTTGGAATCCACCCCTCTCCCCACATTCTGCAAGTCAGGATTTTGGTGACAGAATCTCTGTAATGGAATTTAATACATCTTCTGTTCCAGAAGTTATAGTACTTTGGTAGAGTTGCACATCAACCAGATTCAGGTTAGATCTTTTCACAAGACCGTTTGATAGGTGGTATTCTGTCTTTCATCAGGAGGTACTTTATGACTGCCTGTCTCTTTATTTGAGATATTACCAATTGTTGATACTCAATCCTAGATAGGAACGGATCTTTAATGATGCAATTTCAGATATGCAAGCAGTTCAATTGGGGAAGGGCTGTTTTGGGGTACAGAGAAACAATATTTTGCCACCCTTTGAATAACACCACACATCCCATAAGGTAGACAAGTTCTTAGTCTTTTTCCAAATAAGGTTGTCGCGGGGTGCCTGGGTGGCTCAGTCAGTTAAGTTTCCAACTTCAGCTCAGGTCATGATCGAGCTCATGGTTCATGGGTTCAAGCCCCAGGATGGGCTCTGTGCTGACAGCTCAGAGCCTGGAGCCTGCTTTGGATTCTGTCTCCCTCTCTCTTTGCCCCTTCTTGAACTGTTTCTGTTTCTCAAAAAATGAATAAACATTAAAAAAAATATATATATATATACACACACAGACTTCTCAAATAAGGTTGTCACAAAAAGAGCTATTGTAACCTCCATTAGCTTTCTTCTCTCCAAGTAATTTACCTATTCCCTTTTCTCAAATACCATATATACAGGCCCTTTCCATGCTTCACTAATTATGTTCCTTAATTCAACAGACGTTTCCTGAATGTAAAGAACTGAACTAGGCTCTGTTGGGGGTGGGAAGCTTCCAAACTGGACCCCGCTATCAAGGATCCTTAGAATCGAGTATAGGAGGCAAGCTCTAAGAATGTGGGCTTTCCCACAGAAAAAGGCTAGTCACCTCTAGCCGAGAGGAAGAAAGAGACCTTTGTGGAGTTGGTGCTTGAACCCAGCTCAGGTAGATGGAATGATCTGGAAAGAGATGTTGTAGGCCAAAGGAGTGACCTGAAGCATGGTGCAGACGTGTCTGAGAAAAAGAAAGTAGTTCAGTTTGGCTCCAGGAGGCATAGGAGGAATGGTAGGACATAGAAATTGTGAGGAAAATGGGTGTGGAGTTCAACATTCACCTATGGTACGTACAGCCCAGCCATTCCACTGCTAGGTATTTACTCGGGAGAAATAGAACATATGTCTACTAGCAGGCCAACACATGGATGTTCACAGTAGCCTTATTCACAGCAACCAAAACTAGAAACATCAGCAGGATCCAGATGGAACACCACTATAAAGGAAGAAATTGCTGATACATCCACAGCATGGATGAACCTCAGAATCATTAAAATGAATGAAAGGGAAATGCAAAACTAATCTCTAGTGACAGAGCAGTGTGAGTTTGGCCCTAGAACTGTGGCCAAATGGACTACAAAGGGGCACGAGGCATATCTTTGGGGTAACAGAGGTGCCTTGTATCAGTACGGTGGTGGTGACGAGGTTTTGGGGTGATGTTGACGAGGTTTTGGGGTGATGGTGGAGTTTGGAGCTGACGGCCAAGAAAGAATTCTTGAAGACATCTTTGGGGCAAAAAGGTGATTTTATTAAAGCACAGGGACAGGACCCGTGGGCAGAAAGAGCTGCACTGGGGTTGTGCAGAGTGACTGGTTATATATAGATTACTGGAGGTCTGGCTATTGTCATGCTAAGGTTGTTCTTCCCTCTAGCAAAACATGAACATTAAGACAGTAGGGAGTTCCTGTACTTTAGGCTTGATAAGATTGCCCTTTTCTCATAATATTACTAAGATATTTGTAAATTGATGGAGACACTATCAGTTTAACCATTTGTTTTCTGTCCTGTCCTTTGTTGCTGGGAGGCCAGGAGAGCCTGCGAAGTACCACACGTGTGGGGGTGCTAGCTTGTGCTTTGCCCTCAGCTCACCTTAGGTTCCTCATCCGTGGTGGTTTCAAGGGTATACCCATCCATCAAAATTCATCAAATTGAAATGGACACCTTTGCTTGTGTATGAATTATACAGCAACAAAATGTGTTTTAAAAGCACGTGTGGGACACATCGCGGAGGTTTTTGAAAGACAGGCTGAAGAGTGTAGTGTGTGAAAAGAAGGCGTGGTGTGGTTGGATGGCAATGGTCTAGACCCAACACTGGGTACCATTCAGGCCAGTACTGCCTCCAGCACAGTTACTCAACATGTGGTCTACAGCCTGGAGCAGAAGTTGAGGTTAAAGATAAACTAAGATATATTTTTTAAATGATTTGACATAGGCACCGCAAGACCAGAAGTGTTTGGGAGGATTCCAGCAACAGGAGCTCAGGGAGACTTTTCTATGGGAAGGCGGAAACAAAGCAAGGAAATGATTTGATTGGCTGCACGCTTTGGGAAAGCCTAGGTGGTTGTTCCTGATTGGTTGTCCTTAGCTTTTGATTTCTTAGCCTTAAGGCATTTGGGTTTGCTCTCACTGGCTGCTAGCCTCTGTCTACTGGCCTCTTTGTTTAGTTCATTTAGCAGGATTTAGGAACTTTCCTTTTTTAATTTATTAGTTCTTCTTTTTTTTTTAATAGTTTACTGTCAAGTTGGTTTCCATAAGGATTTAGGAACTTTTTATGGCAATTTAACAGGATAATTTTGTTGTGTATGAAAATATAACCTAAAAATCGAATAAACAAGAGTTTAGAACTGTAGTACCTATATTTTGGGGGTTTTCCCATGATATTGTGGTTCATAATAAGAAATAGATCATTGTTTTTATCCTGGGTTCCCAGCACTTAGCACTTTAAACCTTTGTAATTTCCTAAGCCCTAAGCGATGATAAGAGCTATAAGGGCCTCTTTTGTTCCCAGATCCTGAAATAGCTCCAGAAGATAGAAGTGAAATGTGTGTTTTTTGTATTCCTAACAAGTCCCTTTCAGTGATATCTGATTTATGTTAACGGAGTGACTTTTGGAAAGTCCTACTGTTTACCTGGCTGGTTGCCAGGGGAACCCACGGAGTGATGAAAGGCCTGGAACTCAGCCCCACTACTCCTGGGAGGGGAGAGGGAAGGGTTGGAGACTGACTTGAGTTACCAAAGGCCAATGATGTAGTCAACGATGCTTACGTAACGAAGCCTCCAGGTGTTGAGAGCTTCAGGGCTAGGAACATATCCACATGCTGGGAGGGTGACAAGCTTGGAGAGGGTGCGGAAGCTCTCTGGCCCTCCCCCGCCCTGTTCGCCTCTTCCATCCAGCTCTTCCCGAGTCCTATCCTTTTATGGTAAACTGGCAATCTAGTAAGTGAAATGCTTTGAGGTCTGTGAGCCACTCTAGCAAATTAATCCAACCTTAGGAGGCGGCTGGGACTCCCCAGTTTCTAGAAGCACAGGTGACATGGACTCAGCATCTGAAGTGGGGGGAGGAGGAGACAATGCTGTAGGACTGACTCCTTACCCTGTGGCATCTGATGCTGTCTCCAGGTAGACCAGGTCAAAATTGTGTTAAATTGTGGGGCACCCAGCTGGTGTCATGGAAGGGCTTGGTGATGGGAAAAACCTACACGCATTTGGTGACTAAGTGTGTGTCAGACGTGAAGAGTACATAAAGCGACACACAGGAGTGTTTTCCCTTTAGATTTCTTAAATCACTTTTCTAGTAACTCATATGCTTGGTGTTTTACAAAAGCTGCCAGTCCACAATGGATTGCAGTGTAAAGAAAGTCATCCTTTACCACAGATCGTTTGGGCAGAGCAGCACTAGAGTCAGAACAATGCAAGGCAAGATCTTTCTTTGGTAGGTTAGGTTAGATTTGGGGGAAAAAGAGAACACATGCAGAATTATTAAAAGTTGGCTGTTAAGAAACTTGTGGTTTGCCCAAGGCATGGAAATGGGGAAGGAGTGTGAGCAGCCACAGTAAGCAGGATTTTTTTTTTTTTAACATTTATTTATTATTGAGAGACAGAGCATAAACATGGGAGGGGCAGAGAGAGAGACACAGAATCTGACACAGGCTCCAGGCTCTGAGCTCTCAGCACAGAGCCTGACGTGGGGCTTGAACCCACAAACCGCAAGATGGTGACCTGAGTCCAAGTCAGATGCTTAACCGACTAAGCCACCCAGGCGCCTCACAGTAAGCAGGATTTAAAGTGACAATTTAGGAGCACCTGGGAGGCTCAGTGGGTTAAGCATCTGACTCTTGATTTCGGCTCAGGTCATGATCTCATGGTTCAGGAGTTCAGCCCTGCTTCAGACTCTGCACTGACACTGCAGTGGGATTTTCTCTCCCTCAAAAGAAATAAACGTTAAAGGTATAATATAATAACAAAGTGGCAATTTAATGACAGCACTGTTGGTTTCAGACTCCAATGACGATGGAGCATGGGGCGAGCTGAGGGCAAAGTATAGGCTAACAGCCACCCCATCCCCCCACCCAGGTGGGACATGTATGATGTTCCTTGGACATTCTCGGCTACCCAAAAACAAGAAAGGACAAAAAACAAACGGTTAAACTGATAAGAATCTCCACTAGTTTACCAGATAAAGGCAATCCCATCATAGCCTAAGGTCCAGGAACTCCCTACTGTCTCAAAGTTAATGCTGTTAGAGGAAAAACAGCCTTAGGTTGACAATGGCTAGGCCTCCAGTAAGGCTTTAGCATGTGAAAGTCTCTTTGGAAACTCCCTCTAGATTTTATCTCCCTGGACTCCATAAAATGGTCACCCTCACAGTGCTGCTCTTTCTGCCCTTGGGTCCTGTCCTGTCCCCATGCTCCAGTAAAATCACCTTTTTGTACCAAAGACATCAAGAATTCTTGGCCTTCGTTCTGGAACCCACGAACCCATTACCCCAAAACTTCATTACTAGAGTGCTTGCAGAACCTTGGACTACATTCAGATTTAAGTCTAGGTTGCTATTAGATAAATGAAGAACAAAGTTGCAGGGGAGAGGGAGCTGAAGCTTTCCTCTTCTTATGCTAACCTCCTATAACCTGGAAGCTTATAGCTACTTTCACATTCTTTTCAGAAAGTATAAACCTTTCCCCTTTTACTTTCATATTGTTAAAAGAAGTTATTTATACATAAGGGAATTGTTGTAAAGAAATCTAAGTAAGGGGCACCTAAGTTGCTCAGTCAGTTAGGCATCCGACTTCAGCTCAGGTTATGAGGATCTCTCGGTTTGTGCTTTAGGGCCCCATTAGGGGCCCCTTGTCGGGCTCTGTGCTGACAGGTCAGAGCCTGGAGTCTGCTTTGGATTCTGTCTCCCTCTCTCTCTACCCCTCCTGCATTCACACTCTCTGTGTGCCCCTAGCCTGTTCTCGCTCAAAAATAAACATGAAGAAAAGAACAGAAGTCTTTAGAAAGGAAAGTCTAATCTTACAGCACACTGCAGGTAAATGTCACTGTGTAATAGCTCCCATGCCGGGTGGGGACAGATTTGGGCTTCCTGCCTAACAATGCACGGTATTTTTATATAATACTCCCTCCTTCTAGGCCTCACCACTTGCACAGCAATACACAGCCTAATCTGGAAGTCCATACTTAGCCAAGTTATCAATCATATAGAGAGAATAAGGGTATTTTATACTAAGTCTCAAAAAAATTTTCTAACCTCTCCATAAGCAATTAGAAAGGAAATGGGATTTAGGCAGACTGGTAGTCTGAGATGGAGGCACTCCAGACTAAGGGGAGAAAAGCGCCCATGTGACCACAGGGCAGCAAGATGGCGAAAGCCTCCGTGAGGCAGCTCTCCAGGGAATTAGACAGTTGGTCCAATAGGTTCCTGGAGCACTTCCACAGCTTGAAAAATAATTTACATTTTCCAGTATTGTGATTTATAAGACAAATATTTGATCTTTGTCCTTGTTTCTGGCAGAGGTCTTAAAACCTTTGGGATTTCCTGCAATGAGAGCAAAAGGTGTCTTCCGATTTGAGTCACTCCTGGAAAGCACCTAAGGACGGAGGTGGATTGCCAGTGGACCCAACAGTGTGACTGAAGGCTGAAAATTTAGTGTTGCCCCATCTCTTCCTGGGGGAGAGGGACTGGAGACGGAGTCCAATCACCAGTGGCCAGTGACTTAATCAATCATGCCTAGACATTGAAGCCTCCATAAAAATTCAAAAGGACAGGGTCTGAGAGCTTCTGGGTTCAGAACATTCATCTATATGCCAGGAGTGACACACTCTCACACGGTCTACCTGGGGAGAGCATCAGATCCCGCAGTAAGGAATCAGTCCTATAGGACTGTCCCCTCCTCCCTCCACTTCAGATACCAATCTCAAGTCCAGGTCACCTGTGCGTCTAGAAATTGAGGATTCCCCTACCCCTTCGGGATGTGTTAATCTGCTAGAGTGGCTCAGAGACCTCAGGAAAGCACTTCACTTACTAGATCACCGGTTTCTCATAAACTCAGGAAGAGCCAGATGGAAGAGACGCACAGGGCAAGGTATGGGGTAGGAGGTGGAGAGCTTCCATTCCCCCCCCCCCAAGCTTGTCACCATCCAGAGGGTCATCTTCCACAGAGAAAGTCAGAATATCTAAACTCTGAAACTGAAAAATCAAGAAGTAATCATTGAAGCTATTTAGAAAGGAAGAAGAAAAAAACCCCTAAAGACAGAAAATATATAGATTGTATCTTGGGACAGTAAAAAATAGCCTGACGGAAGGAGGTGGGGCAGGGGACTGATGTTTTTGCTATAGTCGCTAAATTCAGGAGTTTAGGATGTGAAACATCCTTTCTTAAAAGAAACATATCCAGGTGGAACCCAGCACAGTATGCATGGTTATCTCCCATCATCCTTTTAATCATGTGACAAACACGCATTGAGCACCTACGTGCTAAGTGCTGGGCACTGTTCTGAACATTCAGGATATGGAGTGAGCCCTAAAGCCAAGCCCTTCTGGAGCCTGCATGAGGTTGGGGTAGAGATGATAAGCCTGCAAGCAAGTGAAATACATAGTGTGTTATATGGTGATAAGTGCCATGGAGGAGGAAAAAAAAACCCAAAGGGGGCTGGGTGGTGGGGATGTGAGCTTAAGTGGCATGATCACAGAAGGCCTCTCTTGATCTTGACAATATGGCCTCAGCTGACTGAAAGGCTGGGAGTCACGTGGCTCTCAAGGAAAAGAATCTGCATGGAGCAAACAGCACAAGTGAAGGCTGTCAAAGGGAAGCCTGCCAAAATGCAGGTGTGGGAAGGGGTTTCAGATACAGGCAACCCGAGAGGCTAGAAAATATTCGGCAAAACCACAAGATATTGGTAGGGGAAGCAAAGTTGGGGGAGTTCTGCATAACTCTCACACCCTATAAACCGTAGGGTTTAGTACCTACCTTAGAAAAGCAGGCCTCCACATTGCTCTGGGGATGCTAAAACCAGATGCTCACATTCACACCCAGCCCTCCTCCTTTGTGGAACAGTTTGCACATTACTTAACCAACTTTCAAAAGCTTAGTCACTTTTGCTTTTAATAGGCACCAGCAGTTGGTTTTTACTGTCCTGACGGTATGATGGCAGTCACCAGGGGTGGTGACACTCTGCCTGTGTTCCACTTGACAAAACCCATCAATGTGGGTTGCCCCTATGTTAATATGAGGGAGAACACTTAGGAGGGACGGGGAGAAACACCGAGTTTCTTAGCATCCACTTTTATACTTGCCATCTGTGGATATCCATTATTCCACCTCAAGGTAGTCAAAGGAGGTGTTAATGTAGTTATTTCCTGCCGATTCCTACTTCCACTCCGGGATGAATATTAGTTTGGACATTTGACTCACAAGACCAAATTGGCAGTTCTTGAGGGAGACTTCCAAATTCATATACTTAAGAAAATTACATGAATAGCTGTTTTGAATACATGTCCACAAAATACCAACTTTCTCTGTGATCTGCCAGAGCTCTACCAGCTGCTGAGGGAATGGCAGACTTAATACTCTGGGTAGTCATCTTGCAGTCCCGTGCTCTAGGTGAGGCCATGTGCAAGCAGCACTTGAAAATAAACTAGAACATATCTGCCACTTTTACACATGAAGAAAATTACCAAGTACAAGACTAGATTTCATTAGATTTCACTAGGTGTCACACTTAGAAACAGGATGAAGGTCTAGTATAGCTCTATGAAACTAGTGGAAAGTCCTGCCATCTTGGCTAGCCAACTTGTGCTCTGTGTCCTCTCCCAGAGGACCCCTCAAGTGAGTCATCTGTCGTCTGAATTCTCATTTCTCCATGTCACACTGTGATGCATTAATGCCAAAGCGCTCCCTAAGGCTCCCCCATCTCCATGTTTCCTGCTTTACCTTTAGCTCAGGAGAGTACTATGCATATATAAACCAAGGGAGATGTCAAGTAATCCTGGAAGGGGTGGAGGCAACAGTAATTGAAGGAAACATCACTGAACAAGTAATTACTTTGGAAAGAATCTTCCCCTAGGCTCCAAGTTGACATTTCTCACTCAATTGTATAGACTCCTGCTAATACCACATCCACTTGAGGCCACATGGCCCAGCATACGGCAGAATCTTGTATGCCATTCTGCCAATTTCCAGGGTCTTGAATGAAACCATGTGTAATAGCATAAATCCACAATCTACTAGCTCTTAGAAATTTAACTAGAATGTTCTAGTAGTTAAAAACAGGCTCCACAATAGGAAAGAAAGAAAAACAGAGAGAGACAGGAAGGAAGGAAGGAAGGAAGGAAGGAAGGAAGGAAGGAAGGAAGGAAGGAAGGAAGGAAGGAAGGAAGGAAGGAAGGAAAGAAAGAAAGAAAGAAAGAAAGAAAGAAAGAAAGAAAGAAAGAAAGAAAGAAAGAAAAGAAAGAAAAAGGAAGGAAGGGAGGGAGGGAGAGAGAGAGAGAGAAAATGGCTTTGGACTGCCAACAAGCAATGAGCCTTATAGTCAGATGTAGCACTGCTGCACTTAGGAATGGATTTGGAGAATTCAGTGGGATAAATATAATCTAGAAGCCTCATTAGGATTTGTAACTTTATCTGCAAACTCCAAGCTTAAAGAACCTACCTTATTGAGCTGGCTGTCATAGCAATTAACTATTTCAACAGAGGGTGCACAGCACCTTTTTTAAGGACTTTATTTTTAATTAATCTCTACACCCAATGTGGGGCTTGGACTCACCATCCTAAGATCGAGTTGCATGCTCTACCAACTGAGCCAGCCAGGCGCTCCAGCACCTTTTTCTTTAGTTGTTTTATGGTAAACACTTTAGTCAGATTTTACCTTTGGAATGATGGGATTATTTAAAATTACCCAAGGAACTAAATACCCAAAATTAACTCATTTTTATGCAGAATCAAGAGAAAAGTGATTTTCACATATGATCCATAGCCCCAGAGGATCATAAATCTGGCCCAAAACAAGATTGGTTCTATGGGCAGCCTCTGGAAACAGGTACCCATTGCCACAAAGCTGGAACTCTTTTGAAGGAATAGGTTTGTGGCCCACCAGGGGGCTGTTGTGCTTTTATCATAAAAATAGGAGTTGTATAGCAATACCTAAGTACAAATTACTGGTCACTAAGTGTGATCTCTCCTAATTCATTAAAGCACCAATTTAACTTGCATGGTAATGAATATTCTGGCTGCCAGCCAAGGTGGCTCAGCCCCATGCACCTATACTCAGAATTTTAGGATACTTCTGCATAAATGCCTTCAAGTTGGTTGAGGTTCTTACTGTTAAAACTTACCCTCATTGTTGTCATTACCAATTTAGTTTGTAGTTATTGGTTAACCCTCAAGTTCAGATGATGGAACTTAGATCAGTGCAAGCTCTATTTTAAGAAAAAGGTCTATTGACTCAACGGAGCTTTTCACACACACCTGTTAAGCAGATGAAGAGGCAATAAAAAACATGTAATCGATCCATGGGGTGCCTGGGTTGCTCAGTCAGTTAAGCATCCGACTTTAGCTCAGTTCATGATCTTGCAGTTTGTGGGTTGGAGCCCCACATCAGGCTCTGTGCTGACAGCTCAAAGCGTGGAGCCTGCTTCAGATTGTGTCTCCCTCTCTCTGCCTCTCTCCTGTTCATGCTGTTTCTTAATAATAAATGTTAAAAAAAAACATGTAGTTGATCCTTAAACACAGAGGTTAGAGGCACCACTCCCCCTGTAAAAACTCTGCATATTAACCTTTTCACTTCCAAATACTTAATGGCCTACTGTTGACCAGAAGCCTTATCAACAGCACACTAAAACATAGTTTGTATGTTGTATACTGTAGCCTTACAATAAAGCTAAAGAGAGCATGAACTACTTTATAGCACTGTAAAAAAGTGTAAGTTTACCCATGCAATACAAACCCGTGTTGTTCAAGGGTCACCTGTTTCTATGAACAGTTCATGGGCAATATGCTGCCTGTGGTTGTTCTTTTGAATCCATTTTTTAGCAGGCTTTCTTCCCCTACTATTCAAACATTTGTCAAGTTCACCTTCATTGTGCTCATCTTGCCTAGTTTCACAACGGGTAACCCTGAAACACTGTCCACTGGACTTCCAGACAGACCACCCCGTGATTCTTCCACCTCTGGGACCAGTTCCTTCTGAATCACCTTTGCCAGTATCTCAGGCTGTATGCTGGAGGGTAGAATCTGGTCTAAGTGATCTCAGGGTGTTCTGATTTCAAAGGTCATGCACGGAGATTTTCTCAGGATCTCTAAATCCCTAGACCTCTCCTTTCTCCTCCTGTGTAATAAAACATTCAATTGCTTACCCGATTCATTAGGTCAGATCATGTTACCCTTCTGCCCAAAGCCTGCCTATGGCCTTCCTACATGATCTGGTTTCCTCTTTTCCTGGGTACCCACTTCTAGGCCTTAACTTTTCCCCTTATTGCTGTGGCCCCATCAGGCTGCCTTGTCCCCAGAACATGTCAAGCATACTCCAGACTCTGCATTTGCTAATTTTTGCTTGGAATGTTCTGCCCCAGATATCTAGACTACTTCCTTGCTCTCAGGTTCCTATTCCAATCACATTACAGAGGCCTTCCCAGACAACACTATTAAACTCCTTTTTCAGTGTTTCTCCATACATGTAACAAAGTCTCAGGCTTACAGGACACTAGGAACATGCCTATTATCATCTTATTGAAGGACGTAAACGACAAGCCTTCTGACGTACACATCACCTGTTACCCTTGCACAAATTATCTTAAACAGGCTCTACCTAGACAAGCTGAAAAAATAAGCATTCCTAGGTCTGACTGACCTGCATTCTTCGCTTCCTACAAAGTCTGCATTGCTACTAGTATTCTTGGTTTTCCATGGCTAGTTCACTAAATCGGGTTTCAGCAGATGGTACTTCAAGACCTCTCCCAGTCAGGTGGTCATCTCACAGCACTGACCACTGCCTGAAAATCCTTTCCCCACTGCCTCATAGAGGGCCAGTGGCATCCTAGATCAGGGACTAGCGCTTTTTCTAGATTTTAATATATCAGAATGCTTAAAATTGCCATCAGCCTGATGTCCAGAATTTGGGTTTGCTTCTACCAATCATCAGGAGACACTTCCAACCTTAGCAGGTCTTCAGCTTCTAAGCCACATTATGGACTCTCAATCTTTAGGGCAAATTCCAGATAGCAAAGTCATTGGACTTGTCGTGGGTTCATGTGTCAGAAGACCAGATGAGTCACTGGCTTGCCTTCAATTTAGTTTTAACCCTTAAGCTTTATAAAAGTGGAATTAATCAAAGGGCAAGGGTCTGGGCAATCATTCTCCAACACTTCTCTTGTAAACTCACATTTTAGATCCTTTGGAGTAAAACAAGGTCTTCACTGTTGACAGGGTTACTTCTGAGTTGCAGGAATTCTCTCCCATGTTTTTGCACTGTGTTCCCCCATTCAATCTTAACTGCCACAACCAGACAGACAGAAAGCGCGAGGACTTTTTTCTTGCATCTCTACCTGAAACCTTAGCAGCAGATGGGAACTGCTCCAGGTCTGTCAAATAGATGCAATTCCAGTACTCTTATTTCTGACACCCACGGCCCTTTCAGATATAGGACACAGCAGATGTATCTTCCTCTGCCCACCAGCTAGCCCACATTCCATCTACAACTTCATCTTTTAAAGCAGGGGCTGGCAAGCCTTTCTTGTGAAGGGTCACGTGGCAGTTTTAGCATTTGTAGGAGTTAAAGTCTCTCATACTCTGCTTACAGTGAAGAGCCCATCAGTACATAAGCAAATGAGCATGGCAGTGTTCAAAAAACCTGGACAAATTTACGTTTCATATCCCACCAGCTTTTTCCTCCCATTTGAAAATGTAAATCACCATCTTAAAGTCACACCCAAGAGGTGGTGAGACAAGCCAGTTTGCCAACCCCATTCCAGGGAGTGTGACACAAGCATTCCAGGAGCGGTCTAGATTTCTCTAGAACTTGGCTCTACTTGATTTAGGATAAATAAGATCAGACAAAACTTTGCTTCCAACTGTATTAGTCTCTTTTTATTCTTTTGGTAATCTCTTGTAGAGTGAACTACTTCCGTTTGCAGGTGATGAAATGTGTAAGGAATCCACTTCAAATTGTTGGCACAGCTATGAGCATGGTTTTTCCCTTGAACTCAGAATTAAGACTTTGGGTTCTTGTTTTTTACATTGCAGTCCCAGAAGTAGTTCTCACCGTAGAAGTTATCTGCAGGCAGTCTTATGCGCTCTAGCAGCAGTCTACACCCAGGCTCTAGCTTCTCCAGGACACTACACAGGATGGATTTAAATACGTATTAAACTAAGAGGCATTCTCTCAAATGAGTTTAAATGCATTTTATTTTTAAACAACCTACATGACATGTTTTCTGAAAAACAATGCCTCCGCTCCAAATAAATCAAGGTCAAAGTAAATGAGCTCAAGATGACATCAGTCCCACTTGTCTAAGTCCTGGTGTCGTGTGGATGAGCAGCAGCCAGTCATGACAACAGGTGATACATCCAAAGTTAACAGCCAAATTCGTTACTGTAAAAACAAGGAAGCCTGTATGAACACTTTTATCCAATACAAAAACATTTAACATTTCTAGGCTGCAGATGCACTGTATTCCCCTATTCAATCTGGGCTGCCACACAGACAGACAGAAAGCGCAGGGATGTTTTCCTCTCGCATCCTAGTGCAAACCAAAAGAACAACAGCTGATTGTTCAAGGTCTATCAGTGGATGCAGAACCATCCTTACCAAACTCAGCACATTTTCTTCTATAAGTCTCATTCTGAAGCAAGTCCCACTCACATACACAACCTTTCTTTTCTACCAACAAAAACCACAGATATGTCTGGGATAATCCCCTCAGCAAATCACCTGTACTGTCCACCATCCTAAAATATTTTTGTCCATTATTGCCTCTGATCATAATTATTTAGGGTAGCCTAAAGTTTATGTTGCTCCTAATTTATATGGAAGCCTCGGGAGAGCTAGGATAACAGATGCTTTCATTTCTCTACTGCCTCCGGCAACTCCTTGCATAGTAGACATTCATTTAATTTTACTAAAGCACTTTGCATAATGGGGAAGCAGACAGCTCTATTATTTACTAAAAGCTAATAACGTCGAGTCTTTCAACAACCACTTGCAAATTATCATTAAGCCAAAGTGGAAAAGGTTTCATGCCACACATGACACCCACATATGCGTGGCAAAATAAGAGGGCCATTTCTGTGGGAGATGATCAACGCAGTGCTGTTCCTATTTCCAGTTTAGCGTATAAGCTAGGATTTAAGCCACCTAAAGAAAAGCTTTCTATAGACAAGCTCTTCAGTGTCTTTGTGTCATAAAAATCTTTTACATGTGAAACACAACCCTTTTTAGAGCCCCAAAGTAAAAGAAACAAGACCCAGACCTACTTTTAAAAAGACTATTGTAAAACCCATTCTACCTATCCCAGTGGCAAGAAACAAAGAGTCACAGCTAAGACATGTCCATCTTTACACTACTGACTTCAACCCACTTCCTGATACTTACACATTTTTCCATTTCTAAACCATCCTTAAAGAAGATCATATAGGGGGTCACACCATCCTCGCGGTAGTCCAGCAGGGCAACCATGCCGTCCGGATTCATGTTTTCACCAATAAAGAACTCAGGAAGCAAACAACAAATACCCAGAATTAGACCTTTATATACAGATCACATCAAAACAACAACGACACACTCAAAGGAGGATTTAGAACACAACTTGAGATTTTCACCAGGAGAAAAAAACTAATCAAACTTCCTGTTCACCAAATGAAAGCACTAATGACCAAAGTTAAGTACAGAGCAATACAGGAACACTTTAGGCTTTCTGGAAACTTGCACTCTCATCCCCACAAATACAATTCAGAACTCTGTAAAAGCCTGTTCACATCATCAACCATAGTGAATGTACAATAGAAGAGTACATTACACGGGAAAAATTATCCCATGGCCAGAGATATGTGAAAGCTCAAAAACTAAAGAGCCAGTTCCTAATGAGTTTTTTTCTTTATTTAAAAAAAGTATTTTTTAAATGTTTTATTTATTTTTGAGAGAGATAGAGTCAGTGTGAGCAGGGGAGGGTCAGAGAGAGGGAGTCACATAATCCGAAGACAGGCTCCAGGCTCTGAGCTAGTTGACAGCACAGAGCCTAATGCGGGGCTCGAACCCACGAACCGCGAGATCATGACCTGAGCTGAAGTCGGACGCTTAACCGACTGAGCCACCCAGGCACCCCAAGTTTCTTATTAAGTCTTAGAGATAAGGGAAAGTCATTGAGTTTCCCAAAAGAACAAGTTTAGAAAGAACTCCAGGTGGCAACAACACACTGGACTTGTAAATTAGAAAGAAAACTGACAACCACTTAGGAGGATTAACAAGCAATTCCAGAGAGGAAGAATTGAAAAAAGCCATCTGGGAAGCAAGAGGGAGGAGATTCTGGAACCGAAGACAAGATGAGGAAACACACGTGGGAGCAGGAAGGCTACTTTTCACAAGCAAAACTACTGGAACTCAACCTATGAAGTATTTAAACTGCTCAAAAGACCTAGGACATAGCCACTTTCCATCAAAGACTCATTAAGTAATCTGTTGCTCTGGCAGTTAAGACTGTACAACTCTTTGATACAAACATTTAAGGTATTTACCTGGTAGTTTTTGAAATTGGCAAGGATGTGCTTGATTTGTTCTGCAGCCCCAGTCATAAAGGGTTTTACTCTTTCTGGCCTCTGTTCTTCAAGTTTGCCTTTGATTCTGCAACAGCATTTTATTAACAGGTTAAAGTACAGTTCTCAGCAAACCAAATTTTTATTCAGTAAAGAAACCCCGACTAAAACAAGCAATCACTGACACGGGCAACTAGCAGTCGCTGGGCAAAATGAACATGGCACAATCAAGAAACTAGTAGCTCACAAGATGCAAGTTTCAAGACTGTTCACAATTTTGGGTTTCATGTTATTTCCAAAATAGGATTCTAAAAAGCTAAAACCACACCACAGCTCCAGTATGCTCACACCAGTTTATTTATAGAAAAGCAACTATCCCCATGAGCTCATCCACAGAAAAAGATTCAGGCCTTTCAGAAGTATGCCTGCTGCTAAGAATCTCAAAGTGAGGACATCCCTAAATCCCAAGGATTCCACACAGCAGGTGGGTTGCGCCAGGATCGCTTACGATTTCATATAATCTTTGATGTACTTCTTGTAGGCTTCCTTTGTGAAGCTCGTTTCCTGCAAGTGATGGTTCATGACAATATCCACACCCGTGATTACTGTGCTCTCGGTACCTTCGCCCTCAGGCCCTTCAGCGGAGGCATTTCCACCAATGAGCGAGTCATCAATGTTACCCTCTGTCCTACTGACCATCTGGCATTAAAAAAAAAAGTTCAGTTTCAGACATTTTTGACCTTAGCATAAACGCATCCCAAAATCTGTCAGCAACTCATGCTTCCATCATCGTCCCACCAAACACTCTGGACTCTTGTTACAAACCACTAAAACATCGCTTTGAAAAAAAAACTCATGCCTCGTGAATTTCCTGAAACACCGTAACTCAACAAGAATTCTTTGCTGACTGGAAGGAGAACGGGGTCATTTACAGTCAAGCAGAAGTTCTTTGTGGGACCAAGTACGGATACAGCAAATGTCCAAGGGCTTGGGGCTCCCCAACCTCGGGCTACCTGTCCCGGCCGGCCCGGGAGGAGGATGGGCGCCAAGCCGGCGGACCTATTTCCAGGCTCAGCTCCGCCTCCACTTTTCTAGAAAAACCCGAGCCCGGAAAAACCGTCTCCTCCGCCAGGAGGCAGCGGAGAGGATTGCACAACTTCGGGCGGGGGTGCGGCGGAAACCCGAGCCTGCCCGGCCTTGCCTCCCCCGCGCCGCGGCCCGACCGACTCACCTTCCCCTCCACCTCCAGGCACAGTCCGTCCGCGATCTCCCGGATCTTGTAGATGTCGGAGAACATCTCATCATCTGTTCGGGGACACAGACCCACCGGTCACGGTGCGCCCGGAGGCCTGGAACGGGCGCCATTTCCCGCGCCGGGCGGCCGCACGCGGCCCCCACCCCTCCCCGGGCGGCGCTCGAGACCCTGACGCGTGCCCCAGGCACCGACCCCTCCTCGCTCCCGGAAAGGCCGCCAGCGTCCCCTAGGCCCACGACAGCAGGGGCGTCCGTCTCCCCCGGCCCCACCCCTGTCCTCTGCGCGCGACAGTAGGAGCAGTACAGTCACTACTCACGGCTGATGAGGTCCCGGTAGATGATCATGACGGCGGCCGGAGAGAGACGACGGCGGCGCTAGCTTAGCAGGAGCCGGGAGCTCTGAGCGAGCGCGGTGCAGCCGGAGCGGCACTCGGGGGGAGGGGGGAGCGGGCGGAAAAGGCCGACTCAGCCGCTCCCCAACCTCATATAGAGGGCACGTCCCCCTACGTCATCGCCCGCTGCGCCTCCGGAAGCGCCGCAAGCGGTGACGTGGCACGCAGAGCCGCGCTGGGGGTGGAGCCAAGGCGCGGGCCGGGAAGGGGAGGTGAGCATCCGGGGACTTGTCCCTGGTACACAATGCCGCGTTCCGCCTCTCTCGTGGAGGGGGGAGGGCCTGTCTGGAGGGAGGAGGGAGGGGCCTCCGGCCCCAAGTGGGGAGAGTCTGGGTAGCGGGGCCTAAGGCCCTGCCTCTACCTACCCCGCCGGGCTGTCCTGGGAGGTGGGGCCCAGGTGGGGCGTAGATGAAATCTCTGCAAGCTTCCGCCCTACGCCTCGCCCAGCTCAGCTCCCACCCCTTTCTGGGAACCGAAATGTCGGCTGTTGTTAGAGTAGTGCGCGTTTACGGAGGGTCGAGGGTAGAGGACGGGTTTTTGGCTTCCCTCCAGGTTCTCGGAAGGCCTCGGGGAACTTTTTAGCATTTGGCCCCGGCGCTGCCCTAGCTGTAGGTTTCGGACGCCTTCGTGGGGCCGGACTGAGTCCGGGTAGTGGGCTACAGATCGTGCCGCCAGCCCTCGGATCCGGCGTGGGGGGCTGACGGTCTGTGGGAAGGAAGGTGTCGTGGGGGTTTGCCTGATGGGGGTTTCCCATCTCCCAGTTGGGTTCCGTGTTCGAAAGCGTGCGGATTCCTGAAGCAGACTGCTGAAGAACTTTCCCTTTCTGTTTTGCACTAGATCTTAGAATTCTGTCCTCGGTCTGAAAAAAGGGATATATTGTCACTTTAAGATGACGTCGAAATTCTATCCTAGATGCTAGAGAGTTAAAAATAGGGAGTTTTCCACCTGCTCAAATGTTATTTGGACTTTAGACCCAATTATTAGGTATAAAGCGAAATAAACTCTCAAGGAAACTATTTCCCGTTTTGCGTGAAACACGAGAGCTCGTTATACTCTACGGGGTCCCTAGCACCGGGTTTTGCACAGACATCCCAATTGTAAACAAAACCAGCCCTATCCTTACAGAAATTTTTGTTCTATTAAATCAAATAATCAGGCAATTGTAATACATTAGCTTCCCCCCCCCCCCCCCCCCCCCCCCCATCCAGTAATAAAGCATTCTGCATAGGAAGAGAGAGCAACTCTTAGGACAGAGCAGAGCACAGGACAGTGAATTGAGATGATGGAGGAGTCAAGAGGGAAAAGAGCCAGGAAATAGTATCCTCCCAGAAATGCAGTCCAGGTCTGCCCTGGGGCAGCCCACAAGACCCTGGGTAACTGGGAGGAAACTAAAAAATGGAATGAAGGCTATTTGAAAACAAATGGACATGTGACAGATGATCTCTGGGGGATCTTTCAAACCTTTGAATTATTTCTGGGATGTGGAACACATTACCCCATGCATAGCATAAATCATTTCCCTCAGCTTTAACATTTTAAGTTATTTAGAAATATTCCTATTTACTGACATAGTATCTCTAAACTGCTCCCTTCATTCATCTCCAGTTATATGTTCAATTTAAAACATTGTCAAGTTTTATAAAAGCCACGGGGAAAGAATACTGAAGTTGAGGGACTTAGGTTGAAATCTTGGTTTTATCTGTCATTAGTCCTGCAACCTTGGGAAAGCCAGGTTCCCTAAGACTAAGCATAATAAAATTTTTGGTAAGTTAAAAGGTTTTGGGGGGAGGGGGTTTCTGGGTGGCTCAGTTGGTTAAGCATCCAACTTTCATGCGGGTCATGATCTCACAGCTTGTGAGTTCAAGCCCCACTTCCGACTCTGTGCTGACAGCTTAGAGCCTTGAGTCCACTTCGGATTCTGTGCCCCTCCCTCCTCTCTCTGCCCTACCCCTGCTCACACTGTCTCTCACTCTGCAAAAATAAATAAATATTTAATAATTAAAGAAAACTGTGCCTGGGTGGCTCAGTGGGTTAAGCGTCCAACTTCTGCTCAGGTCATGATCTCACGGTTCGTGGGTTTGAGCCCCCCGTCGGGCTCTGTGCTGACAGCTAGCTCAGAGCCTGGAGACTCTCAGATTCTGTGTCTCCCTCTCTCTCTCTGACCCTCCCCTGCTCACACTATCTCCCTCTCTCCCTCTCCCTCTCTCTCTCTCTCTCTCTCTCTCAGAAATAAATAAAACATAAAAAATTAAAAAAAAAAAGATTTTGGGGATATTAAATAAGGCAATGAAAAGAGCCTGGTGTCCTCAATAAGTTGTCAATAAATATTGGCATAATTCTTCCCAAATTTATTCCTTTACAAAATATTCCTGAAACTATTCTATTAACCCTCTATGTTATTTGGAAATGTTTTAGGAAATATTTAGTTGTATTAAAGATGTTTTTATTTAATCATAACACTAATTGCAGGTCACAGGAAGAATTCAGCTTGTGTCATGAGATTTCTGTCTCAGGTGAATGTTTGATAGCTCATGGTAATTCAGAGACTAGAAATCCTAAAAAAAATCTTAGGAAAATCTGATTTGAAACTTAGGATGTTTTGTAAACTCCATCCTGTCAACTGAAAAACTCTGCGCTGTATCTTGAAAATACTTACTTAGAACACCTGAAATGTAAATAGAGAAAATTATTCACTCATTGCAAGCCACTGACAAGTTGGAAGGTTTGGGACATTGTCTAGCTAGTTGGCTTTTACTTTGGCACCATTTGAAATCTTTTATAATATTTTATTTCTTACAATAATTTATTCAGGGACTTCTAACAAAAATCTAATATGGTCCTAAATTTTACAGCTGAATATGACTTGGTATCTCTTGCAATTAAAGAGGTCTCAAAGATGTCTTCTGGCCTTTTCACACAAGTCTTCACATGAGAAAAGCACCTCACGAGAGTTCACCCATTTTATCAGCTCAGGATTGACTACAGTAGCTTCAACATAAGGGGTTGGTTGTTCTCTCATAGAAAAGAAATTCAGGGATATGTAGTCCCAATTAATGTGGTGGCTTCGTTGGCACAAGGGGCCTAGGATCTTCCTTTCTTCTCCACCACCTACATGGTCTACAATAGGTGCTGGAACACCATCCATCACATCCACCTTGCAGGCTGCAAAAAAAAGGGGAAGACAAAAGAGGTATGTTTCTGCTGTGTGTTTCCCTTTTAAGGAGCTATTCCAGAAGTCCTGAAAGAGGATTGCCTCTGCCTCCATTTTGACCTCAAGCTTTCTAGCTGGGTTCTTCTTTCCAGCTTGTGTCTTGGCTCAGATGGTAGATCCTGAGGGCAAAGCGTCCTCAACAGGAATCAAAATCAAGCAATGAGGACCGCCCTGATCCCATAAGACACCACCCATGATTGACTCCAAAACAATGATGGATTGGACTACTACTCACCTGCATTTACCCACCCACCTTTGCCTCACATTTTCCTTGCATACACCTGGAAGTATTTTCAGCACTTGGGAGACAGTCTCTGACACCCTAGTCCTTCATCTTCCTGGTGTCGGCCTCATTGAAATAAATTATTTGCTTGTTTCACCGCCACTCATCTCTCTGCCCTTGGATTTTGTCAGCAGTGAGTGGTTGAACCTGGTCTCTTTGAGACCCCCTGGAGCCAGGTACCCTTGCACCCCTGTTCCCTGGCTGCAGTACCATTGAACAATACATGGATGCATTTAGTTGCAGTGAAGGTCGCAAACTGTAGTCTTCCAGCTCATGGACACTGGCCCATTGCCACCTAAATAAAATCAGGATTTTGTTTTTTAAGGAAGAATGTTGGCAGCTAGTAGTCTTTTCTGTACTCACAGTGCAAAGGGTCTGGTTCTCAGTTTAGTGGTGTTCACTTTACTCACTGAGGGTCAGGTTCAGGGAAATTAGTTAATATTTACCAAACTCATATGAGATTGATTTGCAAAACAAGAATACTGTTAATGTAGAATGAGAAATTCCTAGCTGGTTATATGTAGTGTAGAAAGTCATCAAGTTATAGAAAAAGGAATTTGCTTAATAGAGAATTAGGCAGGAGGTAGGAATACGGTTTATGATTATGACAGAAGGTGATTTAGGAATAAGCCAGCTGGATTATTCCTGGTGCGTGGTCTGAACCCCTTCATTTTTAGATCTGTTAATGAATTCTCTTGCTCCTTTTACCCAGATTTTTCATACTCTGCTAACAAACCATTACTTTAGTCAGGTTACAAGGCAAATTCTTCCTTTAGAGCAGAGCTGTTCAAAAGAATTTACTCTGATAAGGGGAATGTTCTGTATCTGCTCTGTCTAATACAGTAGCCAGTAGGCCACAAGTGGCTATTGAGTACTTGAAATGTGGCTAGTGTGGCACTGGAACTATTTACTTCTATTTAATTGTAATTAATTTAAATGTAAATATCCATGGCTAGTAACTTTATTGGACAGCAGAGCCCTATAATGTAAGCTCTATGAATAGTGGACTTTGTTTTATTATCTCAGGAGTCAGAACAGGACCTGACTCAATCGTTGTTGTTGTTGTTTTAAATTTATTTATTTTGAGAGAGAGAGAAACACTGTGTCCTTGTGGGGGAGGGGCAGAGAGAGAGGGAGCGAGAGAATCCTAAGAAGGCTCTGTACCATTAGCACAGAGCCCCATGCGGGGCTGGATCCTATGAATCTCGAGATCATGACCCCAGCTGAGATCAAGAGCCAGACGCCTAGCCTGCTGAGCCACCCAGGCGCCCCTCGATCATTGCTGATAAATGAATGCACAAAATAAAGTTTTCTTCTCAATTAAATTAAATTCTCAATTAAATTAAATCTAATCCATCTCAATTAATAGGCTTCAGCATGTATTCAACACCTGGTATAACAGTACTTTTCAAACTGAGAGCTGAAAAACAATTTAGTGGCTAGTGACCAATGTAATTAAAAATGAAACAATAAAAAAGAAAATAGAATCACTTATAGTAAAGGTGAATATTGTTTCATGAAGCTTTTATTTTAGATTTCAACATGTATGTATGTACTGGATCCTTGCATAGGACGTATTTCTTCATGTGGATCTAGGTCAAAAATGTT